CGGTGTCCTCACCACTGTAAGGGTGTTTCATTTCTTCCGTTGCGTTTGAAATGTTGTTCACTTTGAAAACACTGCACACTTTTTTTAAATGACCTTTCATACCGCACTTTTCACATTTGTAATTTTTGTAACGGCATACCAAATCGTTGTGATTTTTTAATCCGCATACAGAACACGTATTTTGCTTTCGATCCCGTTGTTCACGGCCAGCACGCTTGCGTGTACCGTTGCTGCCAGCACCCGCGCTGGCACCGCTCGCCGAAGCCCGACGGAAACCGCTTCCAAAATGCGCTCGGAAAATTTGTTCTTCCTTTACCACAACTGCCTTCGCTTCTCTAGCACAAGCCGCTTGTTCTGCTAACTCCAAAGCCCGAGCAAAGGTCAACGTTGACGGTTTTTGCTCGAACAATTTGTCGCGTTCGGGACCTGAACCCAGGCCGAGGACGAATCGATCCCTCAGGTTCGATTCCAGAGCGGTGCCGAAGTCGCAATAGCTTGCCAACCCCCTTAGTCGCGCCGCCCAGTCTCCTAGACTTTCGCCTGAACTCCTTGTTGCCCCATGGAAATTCGCCATGTCAGCAAATGAACATTCTTTCGGCTTGAAGTGCGTGTCCAGTAATAAAATCAACTCGTCATATTTCAGATCGTCAATTTTCTTGGGGTAAGCCAAATTACGAACCATCCGGTACGATTCGTCCGACAAGTGTGTAATTAATATAGCACTTTTATTTTCCTTTACACTATTTACAAGTATAAACTGTGTTAATCTGCTTTTAAAAATAGCCCATTCACTGGTTTTGTGATCAAAAACAGGCAAATTCCCCAAAAAAGACATAATGCACTTTTATTTTTTTCACACGCGTAGGTAGTTTCGAATCTCGTCGCCAGTGAGATATATCGGAGCAAGTAAAAGACCGGTTAGTTTGGCGAACGATTTATTACTGAGTATGCGTAGGCAATACAAAAGGTGTGTGTGTGAGATCCACACATATCACAAAAACTAAAAAACTATACAGAGCACAAAAATAAGGTAGACAAGATAGAATATATAGAAGGATAAGATGCGACTATTATACGTAAAGTATCACAACCAAACTGGTTTGGCTGTGATGCTTTACGTGCCAGAAGAAGAAAAAGAAAACACAGAACTGTGATGGCTTGCAAAGAACACGATATTTTATAAAACTACCGTGTATTTTTTTTAGTTTTTGCTTTGGTTCCTATTTTATTGATTATTAAAATTATATTATATAGTAATGTCACGACATTGTTTTTACTTTTTGTTATTATTTGTGACGCGCCTTGTCTATATGTATACAAATATTACGAATGGAGCAACACTCAAACAAATTAGGTTTAAGAGTGTAAATTACCTAGATAATAAATTATTTAAAAGATTAATTTTTTTGCTTAAAATATGATGAACAAGGGATCGAGCACATTAGAGAGATAGAGCACATATTTTACCACATCTGGCATGCAAATTATACTTATATTGATTGAATTAATTGATTAGATTACAAATAATGTCAGTAGACATGCACAAAACTTCCTTAAAATTATTATAATTGTTAATACGAGTAAAAAATAAATAAATAAAATAAAATTATAATTGTTTTTAATGCTCCCAATTTTAATCTTTTAATCTTATTAATTGTATTTTAATTTTGTAAGACATTGACATTTTTTTTATTAGTAACTTGAATTAAATTTCTATTTTTATTTATTGTTTTTCAATTTTTATGATCGTGTAATGAATGAACGTAATGAATGTGTAATGTAATGGGAATCATTCCTAAATAAATAACTGAATTATTATAACTGCCTCCGTACAGTTACCATGCTGGACTGCCATGCAGAGGTCCCGGGTTCGATTCCCGGGTCTGGAGAAATATTTGTAATATGTGGTTGTATATGTGTACCCGTGACAGGGTTTTCCTAGTGTGAGTGTAAAAAAATAAAGTTTTTATTTAAATAAATAACAGTCCAAACTAATGTTCTAATTAGATTAGATTAAATTCGTAATTAGCACCCCCAAATACCTCGAAAATGATACCTATATTGCTTTTATTTGAAAAGTCGTGTCCGCCATCTTGGATTTAGAAATAAATGTTATATTCGTAATGAGCACCCCCAAATACCTCGAAAACGGCACCCAACTTACCATTATTTGCAAAATCGTGCCTCCGTCTTGGATTTAGAAAAGAGTGCCATATTCGTAATGAGCACCCCCAAATACCTTGAAAACATAGATTTAGCATATAATGCTCGAAAATGATACCTATATTGCATTTATTTGAAAAGTTATGTCCGCCATCTTGGATTTAGAAATAAATGTCATATTCGTAATGAGCACCCCCAATCGGAAACTCGGAATCGGAAACTTTTGACATTTCAAATCGAAACAATGGTTGATTTAATTCACAAATTAGAAAGATATAATAGGAATCAGGTTCATCTTCTTGCTGGAAAACCCATCCGATTTCGAGACTCAAATGGGCTACCCGATCGGTTCGATTCCCATTTGAATCAAAATCAGCCTGCAGGTATGATATTTACCCTATTCTTTAGTGAAGATAAATGACGAAGTTGATTTCGCTACAGTCCTTTCATGACCAACTTAAATCCCAAATGTGTATTTTTTTTAATTTCAGCCTGTATCTGTACTGCGGTTTGTTTTCTATTATTCAAACGTATCAAACATCGTAAACTACGTCAGAAATATTTAATTAAATAAGATATTTTCCTTATTTACCAACGTAACCTAACTTAAGCCTATGATGGGGAAAACATCATTATTTAACCTAGAAACTCATGGAAAAGAAATTCGCATTGGAATGCAATTATATTGTGATTTCCTTATGCAAGAATACAAGGGAAACTAGATATTTAGAGGCTAAAGGCTATTTCATATTAGTCACTTGTAGATGATTGCATTGGCTTTGGATTGCATTGAATGGTAAGTAAGGGTATGGGGAAATGGTACTTGTCAACTTTTTGCCTCAGGGTGACAGGCGCAGTGGCAGTGCCCCTCAGATCTTTGTGATTTTCTGAGTGGTATTTTCAAGTGTTAAATCGCAAAGACGGCAACGGCCATCATATGGATACTGCCACAGCGCCCGTCACTCTGATACATAAATTGACAAGTCCCATGTGCCTGTAATTTCACCAGCAACCTACCCTTCTTAACCGGAACGCAATAATGTTCACGGTACTGCTTGGCAGCAGCAGTAATAGGTGAGGTGGCAGTACTTTCCTGGACGAATTCTTTCACAAGGAGCTCTAACGTTACTAACACCACAAAATTAAGCCACCATAATAATCATCATACCACCAGGCGCACACGTCTTGTTCGTTCCGTCCACAGTTACTGTTTAGCTTTCTGTGGTACTATTTAGCTCACATGTGATCACACATAAAACTGCTTTTATCACATAAAAACTCATAATACTATTACGAACCAAATACACAACACAACAAATTATGTTTTGAAATTTAAAATTCACCTATTTAAACACAAAAAAGTTGACCATTTTTTATTAATTATGAACAAAAGCAATCCTCGTGTGCCTATCTCTGAAGTTGCAAAACCACAACGGCAGACGGACCAGTGCGACGAGGACGGCTTCACAAAGGTGGTGAAGAGGGAGAGGAAGCCAACCAGCCGCAATCTGCGTGGTACTGACATTTTTTTTAGAAATATTCATTTAATTTTTGGAGATTTGTTCTAGAGAACATGTCAGTCCTATTTCTGATTCTAATTGTCATGCAATGTACAGTAAAACTTATTTTTTATATTATTATTACGTTAGAAGTACTACGTCAACTATCGCTGGTTTACCATGTCACACAACATTTTTGTATATTTTCACAAGGGTTCAGATAGAATCCCTTGGAAGAAGTTGACGATGGAGCGGTTCAATTGTAACAGAAACATCAGTAGTTGTCGCTGGCTTTCGTTCTTGGTACGTACTACATTTCGCCAACAAGAGTGTTGGACGTCTTCAATTTTGTTACAAACTTCACAATTTGGTGAATTCACTTTTTCATAAGATATTCAAACTTGCTCGACGGATAACGTCCGGAACGTAGCATATATATTGTAACAACATCTCGCTTGCTCAATTCAGAATTAATAAACCACGGTATGTGGTGTGGCTCACATTGTAATGTTCTATACCATATGCCTTTATCTCTGGACCTTACCTCAAAGAATTCTTTCCAGCTGTCGGTAATTAGTTTTTTATATTTAGGTAGGATTTCGTGATAAAAGGACAGTATGGTATACTCCTGGCCTTGAGATGTAGCTAATTTCTCCAAGCGGTCAACCTCCTCATTACCACTTACACCTTTATGGGATGGAATCCACTGAAGTCTAATGCAATTATCTTTAGTCAGCTCGTAAAGCTTTGCTAGTATTTTATAAGCTATCGGTATACCTATGAGCCCAGAGGTGCACCGAGCTATATCTTGCAAAGCGCTTTTGCTATCGGAAAGGATTACTAGTTTTCCATTCGTAGTCTTTTCGAGAAGCAGTAAAATTTCGTGTATGGCAATTAGTTCTAAAGTAATTATAGAAACCTTATATAAGCCCTTAATTTGTTGGTGGTGGGGTATAAAACAAGCTGCACCATTGCCTTCTTTGGATTTAGATCCGTCAATGTAAATTTTGTGCCAGTCTCTAAACATCTCATTCAAGACGAACGTAATATCGCATTTCGTGTTGTTTCTTTCCAACAATCTTTTAGGACCTTTTACGCTGTTTAAATGTACTCTGGTACTGACGACATGAAAGAAACCATATTATAAGAACAGGCGTTTGTTACCTTTTCCATCAAAACATGGAAAGAGTAAATATTTGAAGAGGCTGTATGGCAAAACCTCTGCATTACCCATGTAAATGGATGAAAATTAAAATTGCATGAACCGAAACGTTCGGTATTGACAGCGTAGTTCACTGTAGTCTGTGTTGACAGCTAAAAACGTAACGTTTCGGGTGAAACGTCCTATAGTTTATTCTTATCAAATACAATAAATAGGCTTTAAAATGGATCTAAATAGATTGCCAAATGATAAAAAGCTGGAGCTCTGCAGGTGGTATTTCAAAGGTAAGCATTTTTCAAATTCTAGCCATGAATCATCTTGATACTTCTCTCTTTGTTTACGTATGTATTTAAGCTCCATTCTGTGTGTTACACATTTAAATATCATTACACAACTTATACGAACCTAAATAATTGTATAACCATAAAAATTTGATTGGTTTTCAATACCTAAGACCCTGCATAATTGTAATAAAAGTATGAAACTATGAATTATTATCTTCCAGTTGGCTGTGTATTTCTCCCATTTGTATGGGCGGTAAACGCTGTATGGTTCTTCAAGGAGGCGTTTGTGAAGCCAGCTTTCGATGAACAAAAACAGATAAAGAGATGTAAGTGTTACATCATACAACAGACTTTATTTATACTTTTGGGCAACATGTGATCAGTCCATGGACCATGAGCAGTTGTTGCGTTATGATCTATTTGGCGTGTTAGGCTCGCCCGCCCTGTGTTAGGCTGCCTTCATAGCTTCTGCTAGCCTGTTTTTTAAGATTCTGTCTTTACAGTATTTTGTCGTGCTACTTATCTCCTGTTTAACAGTAGGGATTTTCAGATAGTCAGGAATATCATCTATGTTTGTGAACCATGGAGCATTTACCAGAGTTTTTGGAACCTCTGTAATATCTCCAAGTTTTACATACTTGCTGATTCCCACAAACTTAATAAGCCAATTACCAGTGTCTATTTTCTCATAAAAATATATTAACGACTCAAGAAACACAGTTGGTAGTTTGTTTATTAAATACTAGCAGTGCCCACAACTTCATCTGCGAGAACTGCTTACTTAGTACTACTTACTTGACAAATGATTGGTTCTCCATACAAACTGTCATCCCCTATTTGACCCCTTTGAGATTTATTTTAGTAATAAAAAGAAGCCTATGTACTTCTCCTATAAAAAGTAAATAGGTCTCACCTATCTCTATACCAAAAATTCATCCATTTTGGTTCAGCAGTTTAGGCGCAAAAATGTATGGTATGGTGTAACGGGCTGTTGTCTGGAACTCTACGTCCAGGCGCCTATTTTGTGTGTGGTGGGTGTAAGGTCCTAAGTTTGCGACCCAAGCTCTTCCAAGAATCTCAGCACCCTATTGGACTGAAGACTTTGGGCAGCAACCTCAGCGAGAAGCGTGAAAGTGTATTTTTTTTTTTACGATATTATTTTTATTAATGTTTTTGTTACCATGATATTCAAATATGTTTTGTCAAAATACTCCACTTATCTATTGTTATTAACAAAGATTGAGAGAAAAGGTATAACGATTTCCTGTGAAAAAATGCCAGAAACTTCAACAATTGAAGAAAAATTACAGATATCTGGCAGTATGGCCATTTAGATAGCCTTAGCCTGCCCCGAAGGACGAAATTTACTCCTACTACAAAGATTGAAAAAACAGTTAGTCAGCAGACCGTACAAATTTTTCTATGTGCCTTGTTCCGTAAGTCCTACAGCAACAAAAGGGTTATTTTTGTATGCGGTACTATTTAAGTAGGTACTCTCCATGAAATGGTTAAGCAAATTCATGGATTATTATTAATATTATGTGGTGGCAGAAATATGTATGGTGGCAGTGCTTCCCTGGATGAACTCTTTTACAAGGAGCTTTTTTTTTCAGATGTAGTGATGAGCGCTATTGGCGCAATCACATGGTCGATAGTCCTCTGCACATGGGTGGCACTGTACCAAACTAGACGCGTACAGTGGGGCGCCGCCGGAGACGCAATATCGTTCATTCTACCTTTGGGACGTGCATAGGAAAATCTCACTCTCATACTCTAACCATCATCGACCATGTTCACCTTATAGCTGGGCTAGAAAGTCTTCTACACTTGTCCAACTTCGCTCGCAGGCTGCGTAGTAAGATAATTAGTAAATTAAACTGCACATGACTAGAAGAATCAAGTGATTCAAGCTTGCGGATCCCCCACACAATGTTACACATATTCTGGACCCACTGTATCTGACCAGCTGCACCCGAGAAGACCTGCTAAAGGCAATGGATACTGCGGCTGGGTCAAAGAAATGCAACCCCAGTTTGGTATTTTATTGGCTTTTGTCATTGACTCAAGAAGAAGAAGAAGAAAGGTTCAAGCCCTCCATGGTAACAATGAAAACCTCTCCTCTGTTACTACAGACTCAGTGATACTGATTGCTCGGAATCAAACTCAAGACTTTCTACATAGGAGGCAAGCATTTTCCTAACGAAACTGTCACTTACTCCATCATGTATCATAACTGACTAACATATGTATCAAAACTTTTTTCTTATCTAAATCGTGTATATTTGTTTTTTCAAACAATACAACATTTCGAGCTCTGTACAGGTCTCCATGGTCAGGGCGTAGTAAGATGATTTCTAATATTAATTTGTCTATGTAATTATACTTCTATTCATAACCATATGTAGATGATTATTTCTAAGTAAGGATAATAACTGTTTGATAACTAACAAGCATCCACCGCGAAAGCCCTGGTTTGTGGTCGGCGCATTTTCTAGAAATGCATTGGTCTTGGCCTTTAGACTATGTACTGGCCACTTTCTTTAAATAAATTCTACCGTCTAATAAAAATAGCGGAATCTCCACTACGTAAATTCTGTAACAAACTTGAAGATATGCTACATTTAATGTAATGTGGCCATTATGTGACTTTGAGAAACCAATTTCAATTAGGGGATATTTGGCAGGTTGGGGAATTAAATGTCATGTTGGGTAAACCATTGACGAAAAGGGCTAAAACTCTGTACTACATGTGAGGTCTTGTCTCTCACTACGAGGCGACACGATACAGCAGAATAATATGATCCACAAGGATTGACATCACAGGGCCGACATTGACACTCAAGTGTTACAGGCGTTATTAAAAATAAGAGTATAAAAAAAATCTAACAATAATAATGCCATTTTGTACAGCCATGATCGTGAGATCTGGGTATTTTCTTCAAACAACTGCTCGTTGAGATTCCACTGAGATCATATTGCAATCATGATCATAGTTGTTATTCAGCTAAAATCTAGTTACAACTGCAGTCCAATCTCAATAGTGTCTTTTTTTTAAACTATTTTTTATTGGGGCTTTAGCCACCTTGAGTGCCTATGTCAGCCTCATGGGCGGAATACTGGGTTCCCTACTCAAGAGACATGTTCAAAAACTTGTACAGGATCTCTGAGCCAACAATTAATTTGTCCATTGCATAAACTTACATTCCCAAACATTGTACGCCATTACGGTTACATTCCACCAATACATTATACAGATCCTCTATTTTATTGCAAGTACTGCACAATGGGGATGGTTTAAAACCCGTCATATGAAAGAATTTATTAGTCGGAATGTGACCAGAACGCAGTGTAAAAGCCGATATATGATTTTTCCTTGCATCTTAAATCTTGCATTTTAAATTTTCACATTATATCTCTTAACTCAACGAGACTTTAGGCCTCCTCCAGATCTTTCCAGTGTACTAGAGCTACTCTTCTCCGACATGGGCCTGTTGTTAGCTTCAGCTCATCCTCCCATCTTTGATGTTGACGCCCTCTATTACGTTTTCCATCACATGGTTACCAATTGGTGACTACTTTGCTCTATTTTTCCGGACCACGCAACAGATGCCCAGTCCAACGCCGTTGTGCCTGATCTATCTTTGGAAGCACATCACTTAACCTGGTTTGTCTCCTAACACTGTCACTCCTGACCGGGAAGTGAGCGTGCCTACAGCTCCGGTACCTATCTGGAAAATATGTGTACGTGCACCCTTACAGAGAACCGGATGAAGTACGTGCAAACGTGCTGATCCGGTGTTAGGACCTGACTTAGAGGTCCCTGTGCGAGTCACAGTCACTGACAAGTCATAGTGCCCTTCTCGTATACCCTCAGGATCGGTAGGGAGGGTCACTATAATCAAAAGTAATGTAGAAAGATATGGGGCTGTCAATCTTGATGTTTTGAATTTTCCTCCAGCCGAGCATGCTGTGCTCCATTGCTCGTTGACCCACCTGTAGTTTGCTTCTGTGTACTCTATTTAGTGACCATGTTTCGCACTCATAAGTCAGGCATGGAACAATGCATAGGTTGAAAATCTTTCTTTTCACGGTCATGGGTAAGTCTTTGCTTTTCGTTATTTCCTTTAGAGTCCAGTATTTCTTCCAGCCGCTTGCCAGTCTATTCTTCTAATTACTATGCATGTCTTATTTTTTATCTCGTTTAATGACCAACTTAATTTTCAAATTAAAATAGTTATAATACACTATTAGTAGGCTACACCAGTGAAGTGCCGGCAGCTGGCCTTTGAAGAGTAGAATACCAAATGTACAAAACCCTGCCATCACAGACATATCTAGTAATATGTCTGTGCCTGCCATTGTCACACAACCTAGATGATTGAAAATTAGCAGATCAATTAAAAGACATTGGTCTGTTAGGAGAGGTTTAATGCTGAGCAACCCGTTGACAAAGAGTGCTGAAACTCTATACTCTTATGTGAGGTGATGAGGAGCAATACCTCTCATGGGAGTAGTGACAGATAAAGGAGGACAGTTATTTGTATGTATACATCCATTACGAGGCCGACATAAACGCTCGAAGGCCTCTTAAAACTAGTTTTTAAAAATTTAAAGACTTGGCGCCCTGTAAAGAACCCGAAACGTTGGTTTATTTGAAAAAAAAAACAAATATGCGCTATTTAGATTCGAAAAAATAGTTTCATAATTTATTACTAGATTATCTCGCCCTTACGGCAAATATAGCACAAATTGGCGGCTGAATAACGTACGCGCATTTTTTCATGTTTTTTTTCATTCAGGAACCTAAAGATTCTCGAAAGTCAGTCTGACGTTGATAGTAAAATGTCCTGTACTCACTGTTTCAATTTTTAAGTCTATTAATACACTCACCGGCACATTTAACGGAATACTAGTAAAAAACCCAAAATAAGTTTTTTTTATTTTATATCCTCCTGATATAGGTTTGTCAAGCGTTTTGATTTGATTTTTCGTTTTTGTAAATTTCGTAACCTTATTTGAAATACATTTTATATATTTAATTAGCACTCTTATAATAAGGCCACTTATTATACTCGTATGGTCCACGTCTTTTTCTCTCGTGAGTTCAAACGTAATTTGTAGTTTTCTACATGTGTGTCCATGGTACCCGCTAAAAATTTATGACTGCGATAAATAGTACAATCATAATGGTATGTATTAAGTGTATGACTTGTTGGTTGTCCTAAATAAATAAAATAAATTTTTAGCCGTTTCCGCTTTGACACAAAATGTAATAAAAGTTGACTAAGGCTTTGTAAACTCAATGTTTACATATTAATTTAATAATAATAAATGTTACAAAAAATCTTACGAATATAAGCACAATATGCTTCTTTGAATGGCATGTAAAGACTAAGTATTGGATGTTGTTTGGGAAAAGGCTGGTGCTTATAAAGTACAATTGCTGACTGAAATAGAACTATCTGTTAAATTATCTCCAATTCTCCCTTATTTCAATGTAAACTACTATTTTTAATAATCACTTTTTTGTTCCTCTAAATTTGCCGGTAGTTGTAGTATTTCAAAAGCGAACAGTCCTATGTCTACCTTTTTCATTGCGTTATTTGTTTATATTATTTTCTGTTTTTGACACCAAACGTACAACGTGCGTTTTATAGAAAAATAAAAACATAATTATAATTTTATTTGTTATATGGAAAATTAGAAAGTTTCAGCTTTCCCATATAACAAATTAGAGTTATGATTTTATTTTACGGAAAAAAAAACTTCAAATTGCTCTCCTGAAATTTTTCCAAATGCATGTTAAACGTTTTACCTTTCCAGCGTCAATATTATTATTAAGTCAAGAAAGCATTTGCGCGCGCGTTTTTCAGTGGCGTAATTCCCGCTTAAAGTTGCCACTTGCCTAAATTTAAATGACAATGTATTCTTTCTTTTAATTGTAAATAGCTTAAGATACGTAAATATTACTATATTTAATTAGAAATTTAAGACAATAAATAAATAATTTATTATATTTTCATTGTTTTTTTCTTGACCTTAATGTGTCAATGTTTGATTGTGAATAATAAATGTATAGAAATAGTCTTTTGCTCATTCTTTTCATGGAAATCTGCCTTGCGAATGATCAGTAGAGTTCATCGAGTATATAACCAGAAATAGAGACGAACTGTCATTTAATTAGTAGGAAAACTATTCTGCCAAATCATTACGGTGACAACTGCGCTCCGATTGGCCAGCCGGAATTCGAAACAATGACGGGTGTCGTCAATAGTTTCAAGTCAAATCGACCAGTATAACTATAAGCTTTGCTATAATGGACGAAAATTGAAAAATTACATTTTTAATATTTAATTACCGATGAAATGTGATTCTGTTTGTTTTGTAATTCGATGTTTTGCTGTTTTTCCCACACCACCGAATGGAACAGCCCCCATTGTCAGAGATATTATCTTTATTACAATAAATACCGAACATTTTGGAATATACTAAGACGTACACACAGGTCAGTTGTTAGCGCTGTACTATTTTAGTTTTCTAATTTGTGATTTCAGCGCAAACGAGAGTTGATATCTAAAAGTGATATAAGACCCATTTGCCTGATGAGTTGCCAGGAATGGATGGCCCTTATTTCGTCTCTATTTCTGGTTATATACTCGATGGTAGAGTTTAATCAATTTGACTATTTGAAGTGTAATTTGCTTACCTATGAAATAAATTGAGTTTGTGTTTCACCCATAGGCAAAGAAAAAACCCTAGCACGTTGATATATATTTTATTCAAATAGTTTTGTTTTTACAATATTTACTCATAAAATATATTACAGACAATTTTTATAGTTATATATATGTATAACTATATTATAACAATTGAATTAAATTCGCACCCATGCTGTCCTAGGACCTAGCCTTACTTGAAAGCGGACTGAAGTCAAATGAAATGTTACACTCGTAAATATGTTTCTATAACCATTTTCATAAGATATATTTATACTCTAGAGCATATTTATGAATTATTTTTATAAAAAAATTCGAAAGTTTGTGGAACGACATCTATTGGCTAAGTTTTATGAAAAACGCTTGGTAGAAAGTGGTTGAAATCCAATAAATGTTATTTATCCCCTAATTTGCTACCCTTATAGGTGGAATAAAGAATCAAGAACATCGATTCACAAAACCTCATCCTTTTTCTTGAAGTTTGTGAAAAAGAAATGCGCATTTGACTCAATCTTACCTGATGGTAAGTGATAATGAGGTCTACGACGATACACACCTAAATAATGCCTATTCACTCTCGCCTTGAACAGGCTCAATTTATACCGTTTGGGGAACAAGTCTGCAGGCAGGGAATTCCACTCCACAGCCGTTCGCCACATAAATGTGGAAGCGTAACGCTTCGTGCGAATTCTTGGAATATCTACAACACAGGGGTTAAACCCTACCCTACGTCTAGTTCCCCGATGATTGCATTTTAACTGACTTCAAAAAAAGGAGAAAGTTCTCAATTCGTCTTTTTTAAAGTCATATATGTTACGTCATAACTCTGGCATTTGTGAACCGATTTTGATGGAAAGAGGGTACCTCAGTAGTGGTCCCATTTAAATTTGAAGAAAATATCCCACCTCTAAGGGTGGCAAACTAGGGGATGAATGACTTTTGAGGTCGGTTTTTTTCATAGATATATATGAAAAAAGGGGAGATATGTAATGACTACCGGTGTCGCCACTTTTTAGCTTGTATGCAATTCAAATTTTACGCTCTATTATCTACTACTCTTTCAATTTTCCTGCAGCTTCAATCCTACCTTCTTTTATTTTGAACTCATTGGAAAAACTTAAAAATTAAAAGTACTCTACGTTTAATCTACTAGTATAAAGGAATTTAAATATCTATATTATCTAAAACAATAATACACATACATTTTTCTTCAAGCAACAGCAACATACAAATTGACATGAAATGATGAAAATCAATCCGAAATACGAGTTGCGTTGAAGTTACTCGAAAGAAAATGTTTAGTAATAATAATTATAATAAAATAAAAGAAATCAATTTAACGTGAATGCTTTTCGATTCGATATTTCAGGGACTTTAATTGCAAAAATCATAGTAAGAAATTCAAACATTTCAGGAAAAATGTATTATCGACAAGCATCGGTCAACGTAAATGAACATTACTATATTTGAGTCTAGAAATTTATATAGAGACAAAAAGAAAACATTGAATTATGATAGAAATAGTAACTAAAAATGCAAATGTGTGGAATGTTATCTCTCTGGTTTTAAAATTTTTCATTTCACTCCAATTTTTATAATGTGTGTCGCTACAACTTGCCATTATCACGTTTTACGAGAGATCTTGTATGTACGACGATCGCCATGTCACTGTGGCGATGTTTGTAGGCGTGTCGCCTCGATATGATCAAAATGATCACATCGAGGCGACACGAACCACCCCCCCATACCAAATCTCCCCTTGTTTTTTTAGTACTCTGTTCTGAGATGATTCGGATTTACGCGTATTTGTTTTTTCAAACAAACCAATGTTTCAGGCCCTTTACAGATACCATGTTCATGTCTAGTGTCGAGCCATAGAAAAATATCCATTTTGAAAAAAAAAATTTTTAGAAAAGTAAATATTTTCCATCTAATAAGTTCAATCAGTTGAACTAATCGGACACAAATATTCCAATAAGTTCAACTAGGTACAACTAAATAAAACTTCAAAAGATATATATCTAAACGTGGAACAATATGAGCCTTCGAAAATTTTGCCAACTTCAGAAATTTTTCCTGAAAAATTTCCATTTGAAATTTTTGTGGCAGCAGAGCTCCTTGTGAAAGAGTTCGTCCAAGGAAGTACTGCCACCTTACTTCTGCCGTCAAGCAGTAATTTCAGCATTACTGTGTTCCTGTTTTGAAGGGGCTGGTGGAATTGCAGGCACGTGGGACTTGTCAACTTATGTCTCAGGGTGACAGGCGCAGTAACAGTGCCCCTCAGATCTTTGCGACTTAAACTCCAAGTGGCACTGCAACTGTTATGGACATGCGTGTAGCTTACCATCAGGCGCACGACTGGTTCGTCCCGTCACTTGATACTATAAAAAAAAATACGGAAAATTACCTAACAGTAGTCATGACCATCATCATCATCAGCCTATCGCAGTCCACTGCTGGACATAGGCTTCCCCCAATGTGCGCTATTTCGCCCGGTCCTCAGCTTTCACAGGTCGTCACTCCACTTGGCCGGAGGACGTCCTACTCTACGTTTGCCGAGTCGCGGTCTCCACTCTAGAACTCGTTTTCTCCATCGATTATCGGTTCTTCGACAGATATGGCCAGCCCACTGCCACTTCAGCTTGCTTATTGCAGGAGCTATGTCGGTGACCTTGGTTCTCTGTCGTATAACCTCATTACTATTATTTTATTATTATTATTAGTAATCATAACCGACTGAGATTAATATAAAACAAATACATGCAGTTTAGATCCTAAAAAATTATATTATCTCCAATGTCACTCGACAAAGAACTCGAAATTTAATTTGTTTTTTTTTTATAAAAATAATAAACATAACAATAATACGAGGAATAACGATTAACTGCCTGTTCTTCTTGACAGTTGTCAATACACACATATTCACTTATGGGACAGTGTATACGATTCTATAATAAGATTCTGGTTGGTGTTCAAGA